CCCCTGTTTCGCCCGGAGAGATGGGCAAAGGTCAGGCAGTGAACGCTCTGCTTTCATTTCAGAAGCAACCAATGGAACGGTGCCTCCCGGCCAGCGGCCACCTCCACGTATTAAGAACTTCCAGATCAATAACCAGATCGTGAAGCTGAAGTATTGCTACACCTGCAAGATCTTCCGTCCACCCCGGGCCTCACATTGCAGTATTTGCGACAACTGTGTAGGTGAGTGACGGAGGCTGGGATGCAGTCCCTTCGGGGCTGAGAAAATGCACCTTATGTTTTCCCGATGGTCCCTCAGCAAGCTGCTATCTGCTGCTCTGCAGAATTTAAGACATTCTAAGACAGCAACTAAGGGACATGGGGGCTCAGGGGCTAAGACATTGAACTTGTCGATTAGAAAGATCAGTGGTTCGGCGGTTCAAATCCCTAGTGCCGGATAATGGGATGAGCTCCCGTTACTTGTCCCAGCTTCTGCCAACCTAGCAGTTCAAAAGCATGTAAAAATGCAAGTAGAAAAACAAGGACCACCTTTGGTGGGAAGGCAACAGCGTTTCGTGCACCTTTGGTGTTTAGTTATGCTGGCCACATGACCACGGAGACATCTTCAGACAGTGCTGGCTCTTTGGCTTTGAAACAGAGATGATCACTGCCCCCTAGCACATATGTGTGAGGGGAATCTTTACCTTTAAGGCAGTAAGTGTTCCCTTTTGCTATTGATTGAAGGAAAAACAAAATTGAGGACCTGGCAACTCCACTTACTGGATGCCTACAGACGCCAGTCTTCAAACCTCTCTTTAAGTGTAAGTTCTAGACTTTCAGTGAAACAAAAGCAGAGTTTTGAAGTTAGTAATTTTGTTGCCACGCAAGCCTCCACACAAGTCTCTGCGGTGATACACAGCTTCCTTATAATAAGAGGATGAGAATACCTGAACGCAAGTAAGCCCATCAGACCTTGTGTTCTGCTACTGTTTTCAGGTTCAGTTAAACTAGACCTCCCACATTGCTTCTGGCTCCATCGGCATTCCCCCACATAGTCTTTTCCTGTAGGCTGCTGGGTATTTCACACTATCACAGAGATGCGCTTCTTAAAAACAAAGCGAGCTTTGAAGGCAGAAGTTGCCCATTTGACAATCCTCCTCCCACCTTGAAAGCGAGAGCATGAATCCGTTCCATAGTTAGCTGGAAGGATTGTAGCGTGGGCTTGCTATGAGAGTGAAACTTGACAACATGCTGGCCGAAGTTTCCGTGACAGTAGCGAAGAGAAAAGCAGGAAAAGCTTCTCTGTTTTGTGTTTTTTTTACAGAGCGCTTTGATCATCATTGCCCCTGGGTAGGAAACTGTGTGGGAAAGAGGAACTACCGTTATTTCTACCTCTTCATCCTTTCGCTGTCGCTCCTCACCATCTACATCTTCTCCTTCAACATTGTCTATGTGGCCCTGAGTGAGTAGGGCTTGTAGTCAGGGGAGGAGGGAACTGGACCAAAAAGCTTTGGACAGACATCTTGGAAAGGAAGGAAGGAAAGAAGGAAGGAAGGAAGGAAGAAAGGGGGGGGTGAGGACGGGGGAAAAAAAGCCTTCAATCTTTGTGTGGTTAATCATTGTGGATTAAATACATTGTGTTTTCCTTCTATGCAGAATCCCTGAAGATCGGCTTTTTGAGTACGCTGAAAGAAACTCCAGGGACATATCTTTTCTGCTGATTGATTGATCGGTAGCTGTTTTTAAGTTGGCCAGAGAGAAATAGGAGAGAAATCATTCCGCCCTGCTCTCTCCAGGGGAGGGGAGGATGGCCGGGGTGGGGGGTGGGGTAGGGATAGCATTTGGAAAAGTTAATGATTCTGTAAGGAGTTTGTGTTCCTTAACTGAGCTTTCCACGGCTCTGGAGGTTTTGATTTGCTTTTTCACTCTTTGGTCTGTGGTGGGCCTCACTGGATTCCACACGTTCCTGGTAGCCTTGAACCAGACAACAAATGAAGATGTAAGTACTTCCAAAGACACATTCTCTCTCTCTCTCTCGCTCTCTCTCACTTTCTTTCTCTCCCTCTCTCCCCCTCTCTCCTTTTCTCCTTCTCTTTCTCCCTCTCCCTGTTTTTACTCCCTCTCTCCCGCTCTCTCTCCCTCTTCTCCTCTCCCTCTCCCCCCTCTCTTCTCTCTCTCCCTCTCTTCTCTCTCTCCCTCTCCTTCTCCCCCTCTCCCCATTTTCTCTCCTCTTTCTCCCCCTCTCCCCATTTCTCTCTCTCTCTCTCTCACGCACACGCGCGCACACGTAATCTCTGTGAGAATGTTCTTTTTTTGGAAACATTTATTAGAGCTATTTTCATAGACGTCTGCCCTTGCTCTAAACAGGCGTGACTAAGTTTCTTGAAAGAATATCCATTCTCCTTTGAATGGATTGGAGCCACTGGAATACCCTTCCAAAGAACACAATAAGCTTTCTTCCAAACATGTCGAGTTTTTTTAAAAAAGGGAATCTTCATTTATTGAAGTAAAGACTATAAATGCATTTCCATCTTCTCTCCCTTTGCTTCAATTTGCAGTCTTTCTCGAATCCTTAAGCAGAATAGTGCCTTCCTATTCAACTGGGCCGTTTTTTTCTTTTCATTTGCAAGCAGTAAAGAGCCTTTGACTGGTGTATCAGACTCTGGGGGAGGAAAACTCTTCTGTGGATGAGGAAGGCATCTCATTAGGACAAAGTAATTAGAAAAACAGCAGGTGCCAAGAGTTCCAGGAGAGATCAGTTGGAAGAAGCCGGAGGAACTTGAAAGATGCTTTTTCATTTGGGATCTGGATGTACATCATCATGTAGATCAATGCTAACATTGGTTCTGGATTTTGGGAGACTGCTCTTGTTCTTTCAGATTAAAGGCTCCTGGACAGGGAAGAACCGTGTGCAGAATCCCTACAGCCATGGTAACATTGTGAAGAACTGCTGCGAAGTTCTGTGTGGTCCTTTGCCTCCCAGGTGATGCTTCCATCTCTGTGTTGTTCCCTGTGTATGAAAGGGTGCAGCAGTTGTGGCGGAGAGGGGTTTGAGGGAAGGGCCCCTTCCTGCAGGTTTAAGTACAAGATAGAATGTAGCTGTTGAGGGGTCCTTGGTGCTCTCTGAGTCACGAGGTTTCATTACCCAAACTGAGTAACGTTCATCAATACTGGAGATCAGTGGATTGGCACTGATGATGTTACCTAGTTTGGGCCATGAAATGTCTGCAAAAAAACCACCAAGCAGCAGCAGCAGCAGTAGTAGACCCCCTCCTCCTCCTCCTCCTCTCCTCAAATCCCTCTCCCTTCTAAGCACTGATGCTGTTACCTAGTTTCGTTCATGAAACGTCTGCAAGAAAACCACCAAGCTCATAGAAGCACCCAGGACCCCTCTTTTTTTCAACTTCTGATTTACACACATTCTCCTTTATTGGCAATTTAGCTGTTCTCATCTCTATAAGCATCCCCCCCCCCTCAAAAGTCTATTTTCCCTGATCATCCGCTTCTGCTTTATAGCGTGCTGGATAGACGGGGCATCTTGCTTCAAGAGAGTGCTGTCTCAGGGAGCGGAGCTGGGCCTGAGCCCAGAACGCAAGGAGAGAGAAGCGCAAAGGAATGCAGTGCCCAGGAAGCCGGTGGCGGCCCCGAGGGCGGCAGTGCCTTCCCAGAGCAAAGCCTGGTAAGTGTGGAAAGCACAGGTGCACTTAGGGTGAAAATTACCTCCTGCCAGGCTTGGCACCAGCACAGTTTTCTAGTAGCCCAGAGGGAAGTTACTGGGGTGGATGGATTTCCAGAAACGATTTCTATTCTAGGACTGCCACGGTGGTGCAGTGGTTAGAGTGCAGTACTGCAGGCTACTTCTGCTGCCTGCCGGCTGCCTGCAATGTGGCAGTTCAACTCTCACCAGGCTCAAGGTTGACTCAGCCTTCCATCCTTCCGAGGTGGGTAAAATGAGCACCCAGATTCTTGGGGGCCATAGGCTGACCCTGTAAAGCCCTTAGAGAGGGCTTTACAAGCACTGTAAAATGGTATATAAGTGCTATTGCTATAGTGGGCAAGACACTAAGCCACATTTAATAAGTCACAGGATTTCTATAATGGGGAAGATACTAAGCCGCATCTCTTAACGTGTCTCCAAAGGTGCATAAGATTGATAGTTTTGCTTTCAAGGAGCCGTTTGCGAGGACTCTGCTGTGAATTGCCCCCCCTCCCTTCTTTTCTTCCTTCCCAGCTCCCTGGGCCAACAGACAAGGTGCCCCAGGAAGCCACAAAGCCACCCGTTGTTGCTGCTGCTGCTGCAAAAGAAGAACCATCATCACCTGTTCAGACACTCGATCCTGCGCAGATGACACCTTAGCCTCCGAGATGGACCCGAGAGTGCTTTTTACTTGGCTGCCTCTTGTGAAGCTGCAGCGTGAGCAAGGACGGGAACAGCTGGCTGGACAGCATGTTGTTCCTTAGGTGGTTTTGTTTCGCCAGCGGTCGTTGAACAGTGCCCACAAACTGACAGTTGCCAATGCTCCCTTTTCTCACAAGAGGCTGGGCACTCGCTGCTGCTGCTTGACGGACTCTTCCTCCGTCGGCAGTCTCTAGCCCAATGAAGGGAGTGCCTCTCTGGCCACCAGCCCTGGAAGACAGAATAATGTGCTGGGAAGAAAGGCGGAACCTGGTGATCGTGATCTGTGCCATCTCTCTCCTTGTGACTGCAGTATTGTGTGTTTGACTGGTCCCGTTTGCCAATGGAGTCGGGCTGGATCCACGGAAGCCTGCCCCCCCCCTGCCAAGTTCAGAAATCGCAGCCTTCCTTAAACGTTCCTGACTAAACAGTGCCAATTGGCAGCTCGAGGTCCCAAATAGTTCCTAAATTTTACACCCTGCCAGGGGACCACGAGGTCCTTTTGTCTGCCCCCTCCCTCTCCCCCCAACGTCTGTTCAGGTATTGGAATCTGTGGTGCAGTATCAACCTTCCCTTTCCCCCCTCCCTTTTCCCCTCCTCCCTTTTCGATTGGTTCTGATCTTCTTCTATTTCCTGGAAAGGGTAGAGCCTTCTTTCTCACTAGCAGTTCCCGAAGGGCTGCTGGGGAAATGGGGTCACAAGGGCAGCGTTAAAATGCTCTGGAAGCAGAGGAGCCGGTGTTGTGTGGGTAGAATGTTTATCGCTGTACAGGTAGACCAGGTAAGGCTCTTGGTCTGTGACTTCCGTACAGTCCCATGATGTCTGTGCTCTTAAAGCTCTTTTGATCCAGGGCTGAAAGCTGCTTTGGGAAATACCTGACTAAATTATGACTTGAGTCCAGATGCTTGTGTGTTATTCAGTCCTCTCTCTGCATTGAGAATCCCATCTGCTGGGGAAGCCATCCTGTACTCTGAATTTGCATGGGGTGGGCAAGGGGAACCACTGCAGATCAACTCTGCCCATAGAACCATATTGTGAAGCTGTAGTATCCTATACGCTTCTGTGGTGATTGTGCCAGTCGGATGGGAAAACAGGTAAATGTTTTGAAGGCTGTATATTTTATGCCCGCCAGCAGAGCTGGCAGAAGATTCGGACAGTGAGGAGGTTGGGGAGGAACATGGGCCAGTCCTGGAGTCTGGGGAAGGCTCTGANAGGTCTTCTAGTCCAACCCCCCTGCTTAGGCAGGAAACCCTACACCACTTCAGACAACTGGTTACCCAACCTCTCCTTAAAAACCTCCAGTGTTGGAGCATTCACAACTTCTGGAGGCAAGTTGTTCCACTGATTAATTGCTCTTAAGTTGCTTCTCCTTGATTAGTTTCCACCCATTGCTTCTTGTCCTGCCCTTTGGACTAGAAGACCTCCCAAGGTCCCTTCCAGCTTGATTTTGATTGATTGATTGGGTGAGAAACAGACGTGCCTGGTGATGAGCAGGAGCTCATGGTAAATATCGGGACCACCAAACTGGGTGGCTTCCCTCTACAGAGCCATGTTTACATGTTAATAAAGGTAAAGGTTCCCCTTGCACATATGTGCTAGTCGTTCCCGACTCTAGGGGGCGGTGCTCATCTCTTGTTTCAAAGCTGAAGAGCCAGCGCTGCCTGAAGATGTCTCTGTGGGCGTGGCCAGCATGACAATGGAGGAAGGACGAAAGGAAGCCCTTTTGGAAGGCAAAGGGCACTTACTGTCATAATCCAGCAGGAGATCGGCTGCCGTAAGCAGTTTGGTGCGATGCTGTGGGTCAGTGATGTTCAATTCATTCAGGTGGTTCTCTTGCAGTTCCTTGAAGTCCTCCACGGTCTGGTAACCATTTAGTAACAGTGTAGAGGTGTGCTCCTAATTGGGGAGGGGGGAGAGACACAGGTCCGTTGTAATACTTGGAAGAGATTACCTGAGCGCTGGGTGGTGAGTGGGTTTTGTTATACCTGTCCCTGTAATAGCAATAGCCCCTAGACCTATATCCACTCCACAGTCTTCTTTGCAGCCCTCTCTGAGCAGTTTACAGCGTTTGCCTCTTGCCCCCCTCCACAATCTGGCTCCTCATTTTACCCACCTGAGAAAGATGGAAGGCTGAGTCAAACTTGAGCCGGTTAGGATTGAACTGCTGGCAGTGAGCAGAATTATCCTGCAATACTCCATTCCAACCACAAGGAAGGCGGGAGGGATAGCAATAGCACTTAGACTTCTATATTGCTCCATAGGGGAATGAGGATTTTGCAATAGCCTTCCCCCTGGAGTGGGGTGGGAATGGAGATTTTGCAGTATCCTTCCCCTGCCACACCCACCAAGCCACGGCCACAGAACCGGTAGTAAAAAAAAAAAAAAAGAATTTCGCCACTGGTCCAAAACTCTGCCGCACAGCCGCTCCTTCAGTTCCCTTTTAATATTACACGAGATGTTCGAAGAATGGACCAATGCCATTTCCTGTTTATAAAGTATTGTCCTGGCCAGGCACGCTATCAGAGTGTTGGAGGTGATGAGTAGCACTTCTCTGATGCATATGAGGCAGGAGAATTGCTGGAAACTTACTCACCCAGGTCAAACCCAGGTCAAACCCAGGACCCATTTAGTTCTGCTGATTGTATGTATTGGCCTTGGCTACCCTAGTCCTCAGCAGCTGGCCAAGACCATGGCCATCACCCTCTAGTCCTTGCTGGGGGAGAATGACCATACACCCTGACTTCTCAACGGGATCTTACATAGCTTCACCAAGAGAGGTCAGGAATTAGAAGCACCTTCTGCATCCATGCAGTATACTACTCCCTAATTAGAACCTAATTAGAACAATTAGGTCCTATAAGTATGCCTAGTTTAATGAGAAGGACTAGGGGAGACATGACGGCAGTGTTCCAATATCTCAGGGGTTGCCCAAAAGAAGTCAAGCTATTCACCAAAGCACCTGAGGGCAGGACAAGAAGCAATGGTTGGAAACTAATCAAGGAGAGAAGCAACTTAGAACTAAGGAGAAATTTCCTGACAGTTAGAAGAATTAATCAGTGGAACAACTTGCCTCCAGAAGTTGTGAGTGCTCCAACACTGGAGGTTTTTAAGAACAGACTGGACAGCCATTTGTCTGCAATGGTATAGGGNACAACTACACTCCAGAGGGGAAAAATGTGCTTTATTTGAAAAATAAGTACCGGAGAATAGTGCTTGCCATGTCATAGAGTAAGCCAGTTTAGAAATTGCACCTACCTGTTCTTCATTAGAATCTTGTTCTAAAAACTACAAAACTCCCAGCTTTTTACAATAAAGTAGACCTATTGGAAACGAAATAGAACAGAGTACCTCCCCCCCCCTGCTCTTCCCAACTACAGCTACAAGAGTGAAGACCCTCTTCTCAGTGAGGGGAGGATGGAAGAAGCCCCAATCCCATTCAGAAGTTCTTTGTGGCGGTATTTGGATTGCGCAGAGCTGGTGGGGGGGCAAGCAAACACTATTTGCACCCAAAGAGAAGACTGGGCACATGGAGGCAGAGGCGAGTTTGATGGACTGCTGTGGCCTAGAGGTGGAGCTCTCGCCTCACAATCCGGAGTTTGTGAGTTCAATCCTCCGTAGAGGCAGATGTAGGGTCTCCGGCTGGGGCAGGGGGTTTGACTAGATGACCTGCAAGGTCCCTTCCAACTGTGTTAATCTGATAAAACCTCTGCTTCTTAGGAAGTCTCAGCGTAGCATCTCCTCGCCGCAGGCCAAACTCTGAAAAGAGGCACCTCTGGCATGCAAGAGTCTGGCAACAGAGTCTTTGCTGCAGTCCTCTGAGCACTTTGGATCTGAGCCTTCTCCTTATTTATCAGCCAGGGCTTGGAGCTATATTCCTACTCAGCCGAAAGAGTTATCTTTGCAGGGGGAGGGATGGAGGCGTGTTGTTCCTGGAAGAACAGCTGGTGCTTGCCAGCCAGCCAGCCAGCCAACCGGGGCTCAGGATGCAGAGAGAGCAGGCTTCCTCCATCTCAGCTCGAACTGGTCAGAGAATGGGATGGCAGCCCCTCCTCAAGCTTCACGTCGTCTTCCCGCCCACTGTCCAGAGTCTCTGCCCCTTCAAAACAGCCGGAATCACGGGGAATGTCTTCTTTGAGCTCTCCGGGAAAGAGCTGGCCCTCCGAGGTGCTGCCTCCTTCCTCTTCAGTCTCGCTGCTTGCTGTGTGAGGAGAGAGAAGCCAGCTGTTAAAGAAGAGTTGGACAGTGCCAAAAGTGGCCCTGGGAAGGGAAGAAGGACGGTCTGGCCTCATTTGTTTTCTTGGGTCGTCGTGGGTGCTTAAGGGACTGGAATGGCAGGGGTTGGACTAGCTGACCTCCAAGGTCCCTTCCAACTCTGTTAATCTGTACCTGTATCTCCTGCTTGAGCAGAGGGTCAGAATAGAATAACAGAGTAGAAAGGGACCTTGGAGGTCTTCTAGTCCAACCCCCCTCCTTAGGCAGGAAACCCTACACCGCTTCAGACAACTGGTTACCCAACCTCTTCTTTAAAACCTCCAGTGTTGGAGCATTCACAACTTCTGGAGGCAAGTTGTTCCACTGATTAATTGNTCACTTTTTTCAGTGCCGCTGTAACTTTGAACAGTCACTAACTGAACTGTTGTAAATCGAGGACTACCTGTAGCTACCGTCTCTAGAGCGGGAAGCAAAGAAGGCCTGAATCTTTGAAACCTACTTCCCCGGAATGTCTCTGGAGGTTCTCCATCATCCAGGTCTTGTTTGTCCCAAAGGGGCTTTTTCAAAAGGCAACTGGGCTTCCTTGTTTTTCCTTTGAAGACGTTTCGCTTCAGAAGAACCGAAGAAGCCTCTTGGATGAGAAGTGAAACGTCTTCAAGGAAAGCCCAGTTTCCTTTTGAAAAAGCCCCTTTGGGATAGTTCCCAGGAAGTAACCTGGTTTACATCTGTAGAGAATCCCGGGGGGGAAAAACCCCGTATCTCGAAAAACGGCTGGGAAGAGAATTTTGCAGTGATTCAATCTCTCACATTCCTGCTCGCCTTGGGACAATCGATCATTGGGCCCCAGAGCCGTCGGGATTGGAGGCCGGCAAGGCCTCCCTGGCGCATTTTGGGATAATACACCATCTGCCCTCCCCACCTGGCTCTCAATGCATCAGAGAAATAGAAGCGGTTTTTCCACAATGCCTGCTGTGATTGACAGTCGAAAGAAAACACAACTCTTTTTCCAGTGTGTATCTGTCCGTCCTTGTGTCAAGAGCAGAAAAGGCTGCTGGTGTTTTTTTCCCCCTTGCTGCTGAAAGAAATCACCTGCTCGGTTTTAAGATGCGGTTTTTCATGTTATCTCAGGGAGTGGGCGAATGCTAGCTACCCAGTATGTCCATCTGTGGTTTCAATGAAGGTTTTGGAAGGTGTGTGTAAGTTTTGTTCTGTGGCCTCAAACGGCCCCTGCTGCTCACCTCCGTTCTGCAGCCAGGCCTGGCCACTCCTGCTTATGTGCAAGATTCAGAATTTCCCGCAGTTGCTTCTTTTTGTACAGTGCACCCCTTTTGATATAACCAACGAAGCTGTGCTAAGCAGACCAGCCCTGGGCGCGGAGCGGAAAACCAGGCAACGGATGTCTCCCTTTTGCTGCCAGTTTTCAAGATCAGGCCTGCTTCACTTCACGTTCCCTGTTCTGCAAAACCTGTCTTTTGAGATCTTCCACCCTTTTTTGGATGAAGCCTTGGGGAATAAGCTACCTAGTTGTGCTTCATAATAGAGTCCTGGTTCTATTCTTTCTTTCTTTCTTTCTTTCTTTCTTTCTTTCTTTCTNTGGCTTTCCTTTCTAAGGGGGGACTAGGCATCCTACTGAGTCATTCCACCCCCTTTTCCTGTTAGTGCTTCATTGCCAGGGCAATGTTCCCACCTCAAGGTTCATCCGTTGCAACAGCTCCTGCAAGGTTTTGGGCTTTGGCCTTTTGCTCCTGTGCCGCGAACAGGTCTTTGTAGCCGGGACAATCTCTTCAGGGATGATGCTGACGTAGATAAATTTGAAGGAGCCCACTTTGTCGTTCAGGAGGCCGGTCCAGGTGCCGACGGGAGGTTTTGCAATGATGTGGATGATGTCCCCTTTCTGTGCCAAATGCCATATCGTTAAAAAACGTCTTGTCAACCAGATCCTGATAGGTCTCTGGTTGAACAATTCATCACAATTATGCTTCATTCTGCATGTCACAATGGTCTAGGTTTGCACAACACGTTATGCCCTAAAGCTGTGGTTTACAAGCTTGATTCATGCAACGCAGGAAACCCAAATCAAAACACGCGTCGGGTTCCTATGACGCTTATTCCTAAGAAAACAAAAGCTGCACATTTCCAAAAAGCATATTGTGTCGCAATGTTGACTTCTGGGGAATGGTAGCGAACCTCAAAGAGGGTAGCAACTAACCTAATCTTCCGATAGCTTCTGTATTGTACAACGTATAGGGATTAATGGGCTCTGCACAGATTTTCTTAATAAAATCAGAGCAATGTTTTATTGAATGGGGGTCCAACCTTGGCATCTTTAAGACCTTTGGAGTTAAATTCCCCAGCCAGCTATGCTCAGAAATCTGAAGCCCACAAGTCTTAAAAGTTGCCAAGGCTGGACAGCCTGGTTTTATAGGAAGCGAAATTAAATCTCTCAGGCAACCACCAAAAATGCTTATCAAGCCACAATATTCTAAGTCAGAGGTTTCCAGCCTCTGGGCTGCAGTCCACTATCGGGTCGTGACCTATTTGCAACCGGGGCAACATGAGTGGCAGGATGCATGTGCGCACACAGTTCGACTCATGCAGGCATCGGGCCAGTGCGCGCGCACACACACTGGATTGTTTCTTGACTGTAGGATCCAGACCCTTCCCACTCTCTCGGCCTTCCGGAAAGCCACTAAAACCTGGCTGTTCCAGCAGGCCTGGGGCTGTTGACCCCAAAATATGGTCCAGCCCCATTTAGAACGGAGTGCATGTTGTGTTGTATTTTAAATCTATCCTTTCTTTCCCTGTATTTTATTTTTTATTTTATTTTTGTATTGTACGCCGCCCGGAGTCCTACAGGATTGGGCGGCATATAAATGTTATTAAACTTGCAAACTTGCAAACTTGCCTATCATGTATG